CTGCTACTATAGCTGCTGTTACTACTGATAGCACTACTGCTACTATAGCTGCTGTTACTACTGATAGCACTGCTGTTACTATAGCTACTGTTACTACTGATAGCACTGCTGCTACTATAGCTGCTGTTACTACTGATAGCACTGCTGCTGCTACTATAGCTACTGTTACTACTGATAGCGCTGCAGCTACTACAGCTGCTGTTACTACTGATAGCGCTGCAGCTACTACAGCTGCTGTTACTACTGATAGCACTGCTGCTACTATAGCTGCTGTTACTACTGATAGCACTACTGCTACTATAGCTGCTGTTACTACTGATAACACTGCTGCTGCTATAGCTGCTGTCACTACTGATAGCACTGCTGTTACTATAGCTGCTGTTACTACTGATAGCACTGCAGCTACTATAGCTGCTGTTACTACTGATAGCACTGCTGTTACTATAGCTGCTGTTACTACTGATAACACTGCTGCTGCTGCTATAGCTGCTGTTACTACTGATAACACTGCTGCTACTATAGCTGCTGTTACTACTGATAGCACTGATGTTACTATAGCTGCTGTTACTACTAATAGCACTGCAGCTACTATAGCTGCTGTTACTACTGATAGCGCTGCAGCTGCTACAGCTGCTGTTACTACTGATAGCACTGCTGCTACTATAGCTGCTGTTACTACTAATAGCACTGCTGCTACTATAGCTACTGTTACTACTGATAGCACTGCTGCTGCTATAGCTGCTGTTACTACTGATAGCACTGCAGCTACTATAGCTGCTGTTACTACTGTTATTACTGTTGTTACTATAGCTGCTGTTACTACTGATAGCACTGCTGCTGCTATAGCTGCTGTTACTACTGATAGCGCTGCAGCTACTATAGCTGCTGTTACTACTGATAGCGCTGCAGCTACTATAGCTGCTGTTACTACTGATAACACTGCTGCTACTATAGCTGCTGTTACTACTGAAAGCACTGCTGCTACCATAGCTGCTGTTACTACTGATAACACTGCAGCTACTTTAGGTGCTGTTACTACTGATAACACTGCTGCTACTATAGCTGCTGTTACTACTGATAGCGCTGCTGCTGCTATAGCTGCTGTTACTACTGATAGCACTGCTGCTACTATAGCTGCTGTTACTACTGATAACACTGCAGCTACTTTAGCTGCTGTTACTACTGATAACACTGCTGCTACTATAGCTGCTGTTACTGCTGATAGCACTGCTGCTGCTATAGCTGCTGTTACTACTGATAACACTGCAGCTACTATAGCTGTTACTACTGATAGCACTGCTGCTGCTATAGCTGCTGTTACTGCTGATAGCACTGCTGCTACTATAGCTGCTGTTACTACTGATAGCACTGCAGCTACTATAGCTGTTACTACTGATATCACTGCTGCTGCTATAGCTGCTGTTACTACTCATAGCACTGCTGCTACTATAGCTGCTGTTACTACTGATAGCACTGCTGTTACTATAGCTACTGTTACTACTGATAGCACTGCAGCTACTATAGCTGCTGTTACTACTGTTATTACTGTTGTTACTATAGCTGCTGTTACTACTGATAGCACTGCTGCTGCTATAGCTGCTGTTACTACTGATAGCGCTGCAGCTACTATAGCTGCTGTTACTACTGTTAGCGCTGCAGCTACTATAGCTGCTGTTACTACTGATAACACTGCTGCTACTATAGCTGCTGTTACTACTGATAGCACTGCTGCTACCATAGCTGCTGTTACTACTGATAACACTGCAGCTACTTTAGCTGCTGTTACTACTGATAACACTGCTGCTACTATAGCTGCTGTTACTACTGATAGCGCTGCTGCTGCTATAGCTGCTGTTACTACTGATAGCACTGCTGCTACTATAGCTGCTGTTACTACTGATAGCGCTGCAGCTACTATAGCTGCTGTTACTACTGTTAGCGCTGCAGCTACTATAGCTGCTGTTACTACTGATAACACTGCTGCTACTATAGCTGCTGTTACTACTGATAGCACTGATGCTACCATAGCTGCTGTTACTACTGATAACACTGCAGCTACTTTAGCTGCTGTTACTACTGATAACACTGCTGCTACTATAGCTGCTGTTACTACTGATAGCGCTGCTGCTGCTATAGCTGCTGTTACTACTGATAGCACTGCTGCTACTATTGCTGCTGTTACTACGGATAACACTGCTGCTACTATAGCTGCTGTTACTACTGATAACACTGCAGCTACTTTAGCTGCTGTTACTACTGATAACACTGCTGCTACTATAGCTGCTGTTACTGCTGATAGCACTGCTGCTGCTATAGCTGCTGTTACTACTGATAACACTGCAGCTACTATAGCTGTTACTACTGATAGCACTGCTGCTGCTATAGCTGCTGTTACTGCTGATAGCACTGCTGCTACTATAGCTGCTGTTACTACTGATAGCACTGCAGCTACTATAGCTGTTACTACTGATATCACTGCTGCTGCTATAGCTGCTGTTACTACTCATAGCACTGCTGCTACTATAGCTGCTGTTACTACTGATAGCACTGCTGTTACTATAGCTACTGTTACTACTGATAGCACTGCAGCTACTATAGCTGCTGTTACTACTGTTATTACTGTTGTTACTATAGCTGCTGTTACTACTGATAGCACTGCTGCTGCTATAGCTGCTGTTACTACTGATAGCGCTGCAGCTACTATAGCTGCTGTTACTACTGTTAGCGCTGCAGCTACTATAGCTGCTGTTACTACTGATAACACTGCTGCTACTATAGCTGCTGTTACTACTGATAGCACTGCTGCTACCATAGCTGCTGTTACTACTGATAACACTGCAGCTACTTTAGCTGCTGTTACTACTGATAACACTGCTGCTACTATAGCTGCTGTTACTACTGATAGCGCTGCTGCTGCTATAGCTGCTGTTACTACTGATAGCACTGCTGCTACTATAGCTGCTGTTACTACTGATAGCGCTGCAGCTACTATAGCTGCTGTTACTACTGTTAGCGCTGCAGCTACTATAGCTGCTGTTACTACTGATAACACTGCTGCTACTATAGCTGCTGTTACTACTGATAGCACTGCTGCTACCATAGCTGCTGTTACTACTGATAACACTGCAGCTACTTTAGCTGCTGTTACTACTGATAACACTGCTGCTACTATAGCTGCTGTTACTACTGATAGCGCTGCTGCTGCTATAGCTGCTGTTACTACTGATAGCACTGCTGCTACTATAGCTGCTGTTACTACTGATAACACTGCAGCTACTTTAGCTGCTGTTACTACTGATAACACTGCTGCTACTATAGCTGCTGTTACTACTGATAGCGCTGCTGCTGCTATAGCTGCTGTTACTACTGATAGCACTGCTGCTGCTATAGCTGCTGTTACTGCTGATAGCACTGCTGCTGCTATAGCTGCTGTTACTACTGATAACACTGCAGCTACTATAGCTGCTGTTACTACTGATAGCACTGCTGCTGCTATAGCTGCTGTTACTACTGATAGCACTGCTGCTACTATAGCTGCTGTTACTACTGATAGCACTGCTGCTACTATAGCTGCTGTTACTACTGATAGCACTGCAGCTACTATAGCTGTTACTACTGATATCACTGCTGCTGCTATAGCTGCTGTTACTACTGATAGCACTGCTGCTACTATAGCTGCTGTTACTACTGATAGCACTGCTGTTACTATAGCTGATGTTACTACTGATAACACTGCTACTATAGCTGCTGTTACTACTGATAGCACTGCAGCTACTAGAGCTGATGTTACTACTGATAACACTGCTGCTACTATAGCTGCTGTTACTACTGATAGCACTGCTGCTGCTATAGCTGCTGTTACTACTGATAACACTGCTACTATAGCTGCTGTTACGACTGATAGCACTGCAGCTACTAGAGCTGATGTTAGTACTGATAACACTGCTGCTACTATAGCTGCTGTTACTACTGATAGCACTGCTGCTACTATAGCTGCTGTTACTACTGATAGCACTGCTGCTACTATAGCTGCTGTTACTACAGATAACACTGCTGCTATAGCTGCTGTTACTACTGATAGCACTGCTGCTGCTATAGCTGCTGTTACTACTGATAGCACTGCTGCTACTATAGCTGCTGTTACTACTGATAGCACTGCTGCTACTATAGCTGCTGTTACTACTGATAGCACTGCTGCTACTATTGCTGCTGTTACTACGGATAACACTGCTGCTACTATAGCTGCTGTTACTACTAATAGCACTGCACCTACTATAGCTGCTGTTACTACTGATAGCACTGCTGTTACTATAGCTGCTGTTACTACAGATAACACTGCTACTATAGCTGCTGTTACTACTGATAGCACTGCTGCTACTATAGCTGCTGTTACTACTGATAACACTGCTGCTACTATAGCTGCTGTTACTACAGATAGCACTGCACCTACTATAGCTGCTGTTACTACTAATAGCACTGCTGCTGCTACTATAGCTGCTGTTACTACTGATAGCAATGCTGCTACTATAGGTGCTGTTACTACTGATAGCACTGCAGCTACTATAGCTGATGTTACTACTGATAGCACTGCAGCTACTATAACTGCTGTTACTACTGATAACACTGCAGCTACTATAGCTGCTGTTACTACTGATAGCACTGCAGCTGCTACTATAGCTGCTGTTACTCCTGATAACACTGCAGCTACTATAGCTGTTGTTACTACTGATAGCACTGCAGCTGCTACTATAGCTGCTTTTACTACTGTTATTACTGTTGTTACTATAGGTGCTGTCACTACTGATAGCACTGCTGCTACTATAGCTGCTGTTACTCCTGATAACACTGCAGCTACTATAGCTGTTGTTACTACTGATAGCACTGCAGCTACTATCGCTGCTGTTACTACTGCTGATACTGCTGCTGCTACTGCTTCTAATACTGCTGCTACTACTGCTACTAATACTGCTGCTACTGCTGCCACTACTGCTCCTGCTACTGCTGCTACTACTGTTGCTACTGATCATGCTACTACTACTGCTTTTACTGCTGCCACTGCTGCTACTACTGCTGCTACTACTACTGGTGCTACTGTTACTACTAATACGACTGCTGCTACTACTGCTATTACTGCTGCTACTCCTACTACTACTGCTGCTACTGCTGCTGCTACTCCTACTACTACTGGTGCTACTGCTACTACTACTGCTATTACTGCTACTACTGCTACTACTAATACGACTGCTCCTGCTGCTACTACTGCTGCTACTACTACTACTTGTGCTACTGCTGCTACTACTACTACTGCTATTACTGCTACTACTGCTACTACTACTGCTGCTGCTACTGCTATTACTGCTACTACTAATACGACTGCTGCTCCTGCTGCTACTACTACTACTTGTGCTACTGCTGCTACTACTGCTATTACTGCTACTGCTGCTACTACTAATACGACTGCTGCTGCTGCTACTCCTACTACTACTGGTGCTACTGCTGCTACTACTGCTACTACTAATACGACTACTGCTGCTGCTGCTGCTACTACTGCTGCTACTACTGCTGCTGCTACTGCTGCTGCTACTGCTATTACTGCTACTGCTGCTACTACTAATACGACTGCTGCTACTGCTGCTGCTACTCCTACTACTACTGGTGCTACTGCTGCTACTACTGCTACTACTAATACGACTACTGCTACTGCTGCTGCTACTGCTGCTGCTACTGCTGCTGCTACTCCTACTACTACTGGTGCTACTGCTGCTACTACTGCTACTACTAATACGACTACTGCTACTGCTGCTCCTACTACTACTGGTGCTACTGCTGCTACTACTGCTACTACTAATACGACTACTGCTACTGCTGCTGCTACTGCTGCTGCTACTGCTGCTGCTACTCCTACTACTACTGGTGCTACTGCTGCTACTACTGCTACTACTAATACGACTACTGCTACTGCTGCTCCTACTACTACTGCTGCTACTACTGCTACTACTAATACGACTACTGCTACTGCTGCTGCTACTGCTGCTGCTACTGCTGCTGCTACGACTACTGCTGGGTGACCTTCCCATAACCCCCGGCGCCCGTGTCGGACAGAGATGATGTCCCAACGCCTCATTTGGCGAAACTCTTTGGTCACAGAATTTCGAATGACGCCTCCAATCACCCGGCATTGTGCAAGCACCAATCACAGCTGACAAATTCACACACGGATACACACACACACGGACACACACACACGGACACACACACACACACACATGGACACACACACGGACACACACACGGACACACACATACACACGGATACACGGACACACACACACACGGACACACACACACGGACACACACATGGACACACACACGGACACACACACACACACGGACACACACATACACACGGATACACACACACACACATGGACACACACACGGACACACACACACACGGACACACACACATACTGACAACAAGACAAAGATAAAGATCCCCCGTATAGCCTAACAGACTGTCGGGGCAAGTGCTGTTAGCCAGCACCTATGAAGACACGCACACAGACAAATACACACAAAGACACACCCACAAAGACAAAGACACACAAGGACACACACAAAGACAAAGATCCCCCGTGTAGCCTTAACAGACTGTCGGGGCAAGTGCTGTTAGCCAGCACCTATGAAGACACGCACACAGACAAATACACACAAAGACACACCCACAAAGACAAAGACACACAAGGACACACACAATGACAAAGATCCCCCGTTTAGCCTTAACAGACTGTCGGGGCAAGTGCTGTTAGACAGCACCTACGAAGACACGCACACGCAGGCAAATTCAAGAAACAAAGACAAAGATCCCCCGTGTAGCCTTTACAGACTGTCGGGGCAAGTGCTGTTAGACAGCACCTACGAAGACACGCACACGCAGGCAAATTCAAGAAACAAAGACAAAGATCCCCCGTGTAGCCTTAACAGACTGTAGGGGCAAGTGCTGTTAGCGAGCAGCACCTATGAAGCCCGGCATGGCACACGAGGGGGTGGATGGCCAGCACCTTGGCCGGCCGCCTTTGTCTCCCCAGTGGCGATGTTTTCTACACACCGCACCAGGTACTCATTTGAGGCTGAATAGACCTAGACACACACACTGACACACTATACACACACGCTAACACACACACACTGACACACACGTAGACACGTGCCCAGCGAGGTCACAGAGGTCGTGAAGGCATGAATAGTGGTTCAATGAACGTCAGCGTGTGTTTGTTAGTGTGTGTGTGTCAGTGTGTGTGTATTAGTGTGAGTGTTAGTGTGTTAGTGTGTGTGTGTTAGTGTGTGTGTGTTAGTGTGTGTGTGTGTCCGGCAAAACAACCCGCTACCTCCTCGCGGTGCCGGACGGGCAACTCTGTCATGGACAGTGCTGTGGGGGGAGGGCCAATTCCAATTGGCTCCTCCCCTCATGGTATCAGTGTCCACCCCAGGGGCTAAACGGGGGCTCTGGACGGGTGCGAGGGACTGGTAACCCCTCCACCTTCAAAAATTTACCACTAAACCACGTCTAAAATATCTAACTAATAAGCTTATGCCGGAGACCCCGGTGGGAGAGGCGTCTATGACGTCTCCTGGCCAAACCCCAATTGGCGGAGCCAGGAGATTGAATCTCTACCCTCGGGGCTCCTCCAGAAACAACGAAAAGTCACTTCGTGTGGCCACGTGGAATGTTCGAACGCTCACTGCGGAGGAGAGGCTGCCACTCCTCTGTCGGGAGCTGGACCGGTACCGCCTGGATCTCTGTGGCATTCAGGAGGTCCGGGGGACCGGTTCTGGCTCCTGCCACCATGAGGGGTGGACAGTCCTCTACTCGGGGCAGCAGACTGCCAAACAACAGGGTGTGGCTCTTCTTTTGCACAAAAGAATGAAGGGAGCGTGGGAGAGTGGTGGTGAGGTATGGGAAGCTGTAAGCCCCAGGCTAATTTGGGCTCGCCTTCCCATCAATCGGAGGCGAGGAGTGGTGGTCGTGGTTACTTATGCCCCCACCGAAGACGAACATCCGTGGAGGGATGCAGGCAAAGCCGATGAGTCAGAAGCCTTTTATGATCTCCTGTCACAGATGCTGGCTAAAGTGGCCCCTCGGGATAGAGTCATCTTGTTGGGTGACTTCAATGCCCGAATTGGTCATGATGCTGGCACCTGGTCTGGAGTGATTGGAGGGCATGGGCCAGATCAGCTAAATAACAACGGTAGGAGGCTGCTAGATTTTTGTGCAGCCCATGGGCTTGTAATTACCAACACGCTGTTCCGGCATCGGTGCATCCACACAACATCATGGATGCATGCCGGGTCCAAGCAAGAACATCTGCTGGACTACATAGTGACGGACCAGCGGATGCGAGCCCATGTCCTTGACACCAGGACCTACCGTGGAGCTGATCTGCCCTCTGACCATCGACTTGTCATCTGTAAGATGCGCCTGCCATTCTTCCGCTCCGGTGGTGGGTGTACACCCAGGACGCCATTCCAACCTAAAGTGGCCTGGTCTCAGTTATCTGATGAAAGTTGCAAGCGAGAATTTCATCATCGCCTGCGGCTGGGGTTGGCATCGTCCCCCACTCCTCCTGATGTCGAGGGTAAATGGGTGAGGTTTAGGACTGTCACTCATGTAGCTGCATTGGCTGCTTTTGGTACGTGGTCCAGACCTCCCCAGAGACCCTGGCTGACAGAGGAGGTGTTCGGGATGGTTGAGAAAAAGCGACAGGCCCACTGTCATCGGCTACAGAATCCCACGTCAGAGAATGAGGAGGCTTAAAGCAACTTTCGCTCGGAGGTTCGAAGAGCCGTGAGGCGCTGCAAGGATGGGTGGTGGTCGCGGGTTGGTGAGTAGATGGAGTCTGCCTCAGTGGCCCGCGATCACAAATCTCTATTTAACTCCATCAAAAAAGTAACTTGCAGCACCACACCTATAACCATCATTAGGGGAAAAAACGGCGATCCAATCTCCGACCCCCAGGAACAGATTTGCGGATTTGCTGAGCATTTCTGTGAGGTCCTGGGGGAGGGAAAATCCCTCAGCCAGGAAAACATCGTGGCACAAAGTGAGGATGACCATGCTGAGGCTGCGGTGCCTCAAATATTGGAAGAAGTCACCCCCTGTGAGTGGCTGGCTGAAGTGCCATCTGTTGAGGAAGTACTGAAGGTGATCCGGAGTCTGAGGCCAGGAAAGGCAGCGGGCAGAGATGATCTCGCAAGCGAAATGCTGAGGTAGGGTGGCGTTTGTGCACAGACTGCCCTATATGACATCATAACAACAGTCTGGACCACTGGACGGGTTCCGCAGGATTGGAAGGATGCCCTGGTGGTCCCCCTCTTTAAGAAGGGGGACCGCACAGACTGTAATAACAACAGGGGCATCTCAGTCCTCAGTGTGCCAGGAAAGGTCCTGGCAAGGATTATTCAACATCGCCTTGCCAGGCACGCTGAGGAGAGGCTTGCGGAGCCCCAATGCGGTTTCAGGAAAGGGCAGTCCTGCACAGATGCCATATTTTATGTCTGTCTGCTACAGCAGAGGTGTAGGGAATTCCAGCAAGACCTACATCTCTGCTTTATTGACCTGGACAACGCCTATGATACCATCATTAGGCCTGGGCTCTGGGTTGTTCTTCGTGCTTTTGGAGTACCTGACCCTCTGCTCACGATCATTAAGGACCTTCATGATGGTGAGCAGGCCCGGGTAAAACTACGTGGCCGGGAGTTAGAGCCATTCCCTGTACACCTTGGGGTGCGACAGGGATGTCCTCTGGCTCCCACATTATTTAACATCTATTTTGACCACGTAGTTCGTGAAGCCTTCAAAAGCTGTGCCGGGGGAATCTTGATATGGTACAGATAAAATGGGAGGCTGATCGATGCCCGGGTGCGGTCAAGGGATGGCTCCCTATTGCTCAACCACGTTATGTATGCCGATGATTTGGTAATAGCTGCTCATTCAGAGGAGGAGTTGGAGACGCTGCTGCTGAGACTGGAGCTTGCCACTAAGAGATGGGGCCTTACCATCAGCCCCACCAAAACTAAGCACCTGCCTGGGTATGTTGTACCATCGGACACTCCACCCCCACAACTCCCAATCGGTGACGGGGCAGTTGTGGAGAGAGTGGAGAGTTTCCCATACCTGGGCAGTATGCTTATGACCAGCTCCAGTTGAACAGCTTCAGGTCTTCTCGGCCACGGTCATTCCCTCCCTTCTCTACGCTTGCAAAACGTAGACCACCCCCAATGGAACATCTTCGCCGGTTAGAAACATTTAGGCTAGCCTGCCTACGATCCATCCTGGGTTTAACCAGGCTGGATTGTGTGAGGAGCTCACAAATCCTTGAAAGATCTGGGCAAAGTCCCATCGGTGAGCTCCTCCGGCAGGCAAGGCTGCGTTGGCTGGGTCATGTAGCCCGCATGCCCAGCCACCGCATGCCAAAACAGCTTTTGTTCGGCCGGATCGAGGTGGCTAAATGGGCGCGGCACTGGCTAGAGAAGAGATGGAGTGATGTGGTACAGGAGGACGTGGAGCTGAGTGGACTTGCCGATGACTGGTACCAGCGGTGTCAAGATCGGCCTCTGTGGAGGAGGCTCGTGAAAGACGCTACTGGGCAATTGGAGGTAGTCGCCCTCCAACAACAACGGAGGGCGGAGGAGCGACGCTCACAACAACGAGCGGAGCGCCCGGTGGCTAAAACACAGCAGGTTGGCACATTAGGGCACAGGTGGTGCATCAGCCAGTCATCTCAGTCATCCTAGTCAGTCGACCCGTGGCATTTGGGTCTGCCCCGTGACCTCCTGCCCGCGGGCGTTCGACACTTCACGTGGCCTCAAGGTGCACATGGCCTGGCACAAGCGTCGTGGTGACGTCACCGCCACTTAGTGGCGAATGGCGGTTGTTGTTGTTGTGTGCGTGTCAGCGTGTGTGTGTCAGTTTGTGTGTTAGCGTGTGTATGTTAGTGTGTTTGTGTTCGTGTGTGTGCGTCAGTGTGTGTGTGTCAGTGTGGGTGTGTTAGTG